CTACTTATTTTTCTATATCTCTCATATTACAGTGGGATACAAAAAGAATCGTGACTGAAGCCATTATTGATTCTGGTGCTAATGTAACCTTTCTTGATTTTTCTTTTGTTGCAAAGAATAAAATTCCGTGTGTTCGAAAAACCAATTTTATTCCAATCAAAGTTATTGATGGTTCATTCATATCCTCAGGACCCATAAAAGATGAGACAATTCCTCTAAGAATGATTACCAATAACGTACATACAGAGTTCCTTACATTTGATGTTATTAAATCTCCACTTTATCCCGTCATTCTAGGAATTAATTGGTTAAAAACTCATGATCCTTTAATTAAATGGTCACCCTTTTCCATTTCTTTTCCTTCTGACTTTTGCAAAAAAACCTGCTTCCAACATATTCCTATTCTCCAAACTACTCAGGAATCAATTATACCTCCATTCTACTCTGACTTTTCAGATGTCTTTTGTAAAAAAGAAGCGGAAACACTTCCACCTCATCGAGCATATGATTGCCCAATAGATCTAATACCTGGTGCTCCCATTCCTTATGGACACATTTATCCACTTTCTGAAAAGGAATTACAGACCTTAAAAGAATATCTTAATGAAAATTTACGTAAAGGATTCATCAGACCCTCGACTTCACCGGCTGCCTCTAGTATATTTTTGTGAGGAATAAGGACCAAACCATCCGACCCATTATAGATTACAGAGCCTTAAATAAAATAACCATAAAAAATCGTTATCCTCTTCCACTAATAAATGAATTAATTGAAAGGTTAAGAACCGCAACTATATTCACTAAACTCGACCTCCGAGGCGCATATAACCTCATCAGAATAAAACAGGATGATGAATGGAAGACCGCCTTCCGGACTAGATATGGTCTCTACGAATATCTAGTGATGCCTTTTGGGCTTTGTAATGCCCCTGCAACATTCCAACATTTTATAAATGATATCTTTAGAGATCTTTTGGATGTTTGTGTTATTATCTACTTAGATGATATTCTAATATATTCTAACAATTTGGATGAGCATAGGAAGCATGTAAGATGGGTTCTATCTAGATTGAGAACTCACAAATTATACGCTAAACCAGAGAAATGTCTTTTTGAAGTTACTGAACTCTCCTTTCTTGGATACATTATTTCACCTCATTCTCTGAAAATGGATAACTCTAAAATCGAATGTATTATTAACTGGCCCGTTCCTACTACTACAAAAGAATTGCAACGATTTCTTGGATTTGCAAACTTCTATAGAAAATTCATTAGAAACTACTCAGAGGTATCACATCCACTTAACCACCTTAACAGTACTAAACGTCCTTTCAAATGGAATAAAGATGCACAAGCTGCCTTCGATAGTTTAAAAAAAAGATTTACAACTGCACCTATTCTACAGCTACCTAATCCAACATTCTTGTATGTCCTAGAAGTCGATGCATCAGATTCAGCTATCGGAGCAGTTCTTTCTCAGCAAAAGACTCCTCAAGATCCACTTCATCCAGTCGCATTCTTTTCAAGATCCTTGAGCTCTGCTGAAAAAAATTATCCTATTGGTGAAAAGGAATTATTAAGTGTTAAAGCTGCCTTTGAAAATTGGCGCCATCTATTAGAAGATACAAAACAACCTATCATAGTCTATACAGACCATAAAAATCTTGAATATCTTTATACTAATAAAACCCTTACGGCTAGACAAGTTAGATGGAACCTATTTTTTAACCGGTTTAACTTCCAATTAATATACAGACCTGGAACTAGAAATAAAAAGGCTGACGCTCTTTCTCGAATTCCTTCTAAAACTTCTATTGATGTTTATCCTCCTAACAAAATAATAGGGATCCTCTCTTCTCTTCAGGATGACTTAAGGAACTTGAATCAAAAGGATCTTGAACTTCCCAAAACACCTAATTTAACAAAAAAGGATGGTATATTTTACTTTAAAAATAGGATTTATATTCCTCCCATTCTTAGGAACAAATTACTCAAAATGGTTCATGATTCACCCCTAGCTGGACATCCTGGAATAAAGAAAACTCTTGAACTAACTTCACGATATTATTGGTGGCCTCGCCAAGATAGAACCATTGAATTATATGTCAAAACTTGTCCTATCTGTCAAAGGTCCAAATCTGAACATAATCAACCTTTTGGATTACTACTTAACTTACCTATTCCAGAAAAACCTTGGCAATCCATTTCTATGGATTTTCTTGTTGACCTTCCTCCATCCCGACAGTTCACCACTATTCTTGTTGTTGTGGACCGCTTCACTAAAATGTCCCATTTCATCTCTTTAAAAAAATTACCCTCCTCCGTAGAATTGTCCAAAGTCTTTATTGATAATATTGTAAAGCTTCATGGTCTTCCAGAAGAAATTATTTCTGATAGGGGGACACAATTTACCTCCAAATTCTGGAAAGAGATGTGTCTCTCTCTTCAAATTCAACGCAAACTCTCTTCTGCCTATCATCCCCAGACTAATGGGCAAACAGAGAGAGTTAATCAATGTTTGGAACAATATCTCCGATGTTATTGTTCATACCTGCAAGATGACTGGACCACTTGGTTACCTATGGCTGAATTTTCTTACAATAATACCATTCATTCTAGTACGAAAATGACTCCTTTTTTCTCCAACTATGGATTTCATCCGTCCTCATTTCCCATCCCATCTAATTCTTCATCCAATCCCACGGTTACTTCAAAAAATGAATTTATGTCTTCTCTATTCCTTAAATTACGGGAGAATCTTCAACTCGCCCAAAACTACCAGAAAAAGTTTTTTGACCATAAAAGAAGAATTCCCCCTCCTTATAAAGTGGGGGATCTTGTCTGGCTCTCTTCAAAAAATATTACCACAAACCGTCCTTCAAAGAAATTGAGCTCTCTTTTTCTTGGTCCTTTTCAAATAACTACAATCATCAATGATAACGTTGTTAAATTAAAACTTCCTCCAAGTTTTAAACTTCATCCAGTATTCCATGTCTCTTTGCTTAAACCACACATCCCTGATCCTTTCCATAGAGAAATAGTAACAACTCCTGAACCTATCATCGTCCAAGGTGAAGAAGAATATGAAATTCATAAGATTTTGGATTCTCGTATCCACCGTGGCTCTTTACAATACCTTATCAGATGGAAAGGTTATGGAGTTGATGAAGATACCTGGGAAGATTCATCTAATGTTCATGCAAAGAGATTAGTTGATGCTTTTCACAAACGCTACCCCTCTAAACCGAAATAAGTGCACCCAGAGGATGCCCCATGAGAAGGGGGTACTGTCAGGTATACCTAACATTCATGCTGCCGCCGGAACCCACTTCCGGGTTCACGGCGCTTAGCTCCGCCCTTTTTTCTGACGCGGTCTTTCCACGATACTTAGGAAGACCGCGCCAGATTCAAAGGGCTGGATTATTCACTCAGGTGCGGCAGTAAGATCAGCTGCCCCACTCGATGCTACCGGCTCCTCTCTCAGACCTCAGGTTGTAAACGGATTTCTACCTTCTCATCCCTCAGACCTCGGCTTGTAAACGGATTTCTACCTTCTCATCCCTCAGACCTCGGCTTGTAAACGGATTTCTACCTTCTCATCTCTCAGACCTCGGGTTGTAAACGGATTTCTACCTTCTCATCCCCCAGACCTCGGCTTGTAAACGGATTTCTACCTTCTCCTCTCTCAGACCTCGGCTTGGACAAACGGACTTCCTTTCTCTCACTACTAAACTGCAGTTTGTTAAAAGAGACTCCTTCCTTTTCCTCCATTGGGTGAATTAACCCTTCCAGTGCCAGAGTGCTTCTAAGTTAAGTAAATCTCTTGTCAAGGAAAGCAAGTCATATCAATTATTATAGTATTTAATTTCTCTAAACTCTCTGTTGACAAATAAGCATTGCATTTTTTCCTTGCATGTGTATTTAAAGATACAGTCTACCTTGTTCACTTCAATAAAATAAAGGAGGTGAAACTTATTGTTTCTGCAGTTGAGTTCCAATTAAAGAGACATTACACAAAAGCATCACACATACACATACCCACACACACTCAAAATCTGACATACATCAGAGCCACCCTCCTGTTAGTTTACCTCGTGTGTCCAGGAGGGTGGCTTGCTTGGGTCCTGGTGATTTTGTCTGAGGCTCACTCCACTCCAGCCTCTCCTCTGCCATCCATGCTGCTGCCTGTCTAGGCGGCCATCTCCAGTCTCCTCCCAGCCTTCAGCCGCCTCCTCCCTCCCTAGCGCATGACAGCTCCCTACCGCATGCTATCACTTCCTCCCTGATGGCTAATTCTACAGTGTCCCGGTTATGTTCTTTAAGGGCTGTGGCACCCGACTGGGCCCCTGTTAAGGGATAAAATTGCGGCAGCTAATTTGGTTGGCGATATTATGGCGGAACCCCATTTTTGTTCTCGGGTTTTGGCAGAACACCAATTGGGAAACGCTGGTTTACATTATCACTAATGTATAACTTTAAGTTCCTTTAAAACATGTATAACCTCCCCTGCCCCTGTTTTCTGTCTGTCTGTCTATCTAACCATCCATCCATCTATCATTTGTCTTATTGTCTGTCTATCGAAATATGTATTTACTGAACCATATTGCTATTGCAAACTGACTTAGTGATTACCTGCAGCAGGAAAACTGTTCAAAATCCTCTCTGAATTTCCATCTACAAAGTATATATTATATGTCAAATCTAAAAAAAAAAAAAAAAAAACATTCATTGTCACAGATTATAATCTAATCCTAAACTATCTGACATATAATGTCATTAGGAGTGTTAGAGACTCCTTTATCATTGAGCAAGGAGAACAGAAACAGACGTGTTATGTTTTGGTTTCATTTTCCCTTCATGATGAAATAAAGTAAAACTGAGAATGGCTGCAGGCCAACAGAGTGACTTATGGGTAGTAAAACTGCCTATAAATAAGCTGGGTTCTATGAAGAATTCAGAATTTATTTGGAAAAGCTGCAAGATCGAGCACATTTGACAAAATGATCTCCCTATTCATGCTGTCAGTGATGGGCATTATTACAAGTTTCTGGGATACTATGAAACTCATTTTGAAATATATGCAGATACATTCTTTTTGGTCCTTGGGTTTCCAGAACGATTCTCCTCCAAGAACCAAACTGAGATTTCTGGAACCTGACAGAGTGATTCCTACCAGTGTCAATTATCACTTCACCAGGCAGTGCAATTATAAATGTGGATTCTGCTTCCATACAGCGAAAACATCTTTCGTGCTACCCCTGGAAGAAGCCAAGAAAGGACTTTCCCTGTTGAAAGACGCAGGTATGTCAGCAAAAGTTGTGATGGTTTTTCTATCATCTGCTACTGTTTTTATTGTTGGCATTTATATAGCGCCAACGTATGCTGCAGCACTGTGCAATATAATAAAAAGGGGGAAATTTTACAATAAATGAGACAATTACAATATGTTACAATAGGTTGATGATGACTCTGCTCAAACAAGTTTACAGCCTACAGGTGTTACTTTGTATATATAGATAGCTAGTCAGGGGTTTATCTGCTAAACATTGGGCAGGGGGGATTATCTGCTAAACAGTGAAAAGTTTAGTGAATCGTCAAAGAAGAGAAAAACTTTTAAAAGATCTAATTTGTGAGTAAAGACACTTTGTGGCCATGTTAAGCTATATTTTTAGTTTGGATGTCAATTCTCTTCACTTCTCTCTGTCTAAGGGACTAATTCTGTTGGATGTATTTACTAAGGTCTGCATTGTAGCTAGTTCTAAATCCAAATGGAAACATTTAGGCTAAATTGCAATTTGGGATAATAAAATTCACCTTTACTCTATAAACAGCTTGGATATTTTACTCTTATTTTTTATTAGGATTTCAGTTTGTTAAAGGACCACTATAGGGCCAGGAAAACATACTCGTTTTCCTGGCACTATAGTGCCTTGAGGGTGCCACCACCCTCAGGGTCCCCCTCCTGCCGGGCTGGATGGAGAAGAAGGGGTTAAATTTACCTCTTTTTCCAGTGCCGGGCGGGGAGCTCTCCTCCTCCTCTCCGCCTCCTCTCCGCCTCCTCTCTGCCTCCTCTCCTCTTCTTTGGCTGAATGCGCATGAGCGGCTGGAGCGGCGCACGCATTCAGCCAGTCCATAGGAAAGCATTCACAATCAATTCACAGTGAGAAGTGCGTAAGCCCTCTAGCAGCTGTCAATGAGACAGCCACTAGAGGCTGGATTAACCCTAATTTAAACAAAGCAGTTTCTCTGAAACTGCTATGTTTATAAAAAAAAGGGTTAAACCTAGCTGGACCTGGCACCCAGACCACTTCATTAAGCTGAAGTGGTCTGGGTGCCTATAGTGGTCCTTTAATATTCGAAGTTTGGTGAATAATCTCATGGTCAAATAGTATTTTTATAGGTGTGAAATTCCTGCTTGAATAAAAGTGGTTGAATTAAGGATGACGGATATTTGCACAAATTTGCATGAATAAGCACTTTTTCTTGAGAAATTTTATTAATCTTTATTAAGATAAGTCACACTAAGCGCTCCACCAACTACTGTTGAAGTTACTAAAGGAATAATGTTAAGGTGTTTGAACAGCTAATCTAAATTATTGTTTACATAATCACTCATTTATAAATTTAAAAGTCTTTAAACCACATATGACTATCCCCCCGCCCGTCCTCTGTCTGTATGTCTGTCAAGGCATCCGTCTGTCTATCTAAAGCTGTATTTACTGAACCATATTGCTATTGCAAACTGATTTAATGATTGCCTGCATCTAAAATATCTTATTTAAAAAAACAAAAACAAAACCAGCTTTGCTACAGAAGCAACTTGGATATTTTATTCTTAATTTTCTTCATTAGGAATTCAGTTTGGTAATATTTGAATTTTGGTGACTGAACACTAAGTCCTAGAGAATTCTCATGGTCAGATAGAACATATAGGTGTGGCTTTAATTGATATGGTGACAGGAGTTATTGGACACTGTCCCAGAGTGAAACTGTATTTGAATAATTTGACACTTACCTAGGTGCAATTTCTCTTCTGTTTTTCTATAATATCACTAAGCAATAGCAATTCTAGTTTGGAACAAATGTTTGTCCAAAGTTGTCAAAATGCTAATGCAAAAGGAGAACTTCAGCTTTAACAATATCACAGGAGACCAAAATCACTATGGGTACCCAGGGAACCCAGGCAAGAGTCAAACTGTTTAATAATGGTTATGATACCATAACTATTACAACACATTGTAGTGCTTATAGTGATTAGAGCTCCCTTTGAATTGGGTAACCTTCCTGAAGCTGGCCTTGTTGTCTAAAGACAAAGTATCAAGTTGTTTTACTTTTTTCCCTTTTGTCTTCCTTTGTTTTAGGCATGGAAAAAATAAACTTCTCAGGAGGAGAACCATTCCTTCAGGAAAGAGGACATTTTGTTGGGAAGATGGTTCAATTCTGCAAACAGGAATTGAAATTGCCAAGTGTCAGCATTGTGAGCAATGGGAGTATGATAACCGAGAGGTGGTTCAAAATGTATGGTAAGTACAAGAAATGTATTCAATCTATTATTTTTTTTATCTCTAGCTTTATTTGTGCCCTAATTATCATTTTTTATTATACACCATTTTGGGGGGAAAAGTAAGGGATTTCTGAAATTTCGGGTGCTCTTTCCAACAGAAAAGTCATTTTGCATAACTTTTTTCTGCCACCATAAATTTGTTTGTCTTTTGAAATTACAAATTACAATGAGTGAAAAACAATGTATATCACCTGTTCACTTTATTTAACTGCTCCATAATGACACCTGCGCACAGGCATGACTAAACTTGGACAACCCCTCCTGTCGTGGCTGCACCGCTTCCTCTTTAGACTCTGCGTTTTCCTCGTAGAACACCACCTCTTAGTATTTCATCCTTTTAAGCACACCCACTCTTACTGAGCCATACATGCACTTATTGGCACAAGCACTGATTCACTGACAGACATACAGTCATTGGCTCCCACACTGTTTAACCAACACACAGTTTCACTAAAAGACACACACTGACACACCCACTCACTGACAGAACACACTCTCAGATATATATACACTCAATGACAGACACACATCCTCACTGATTTGACACACTCTGACAGACACACACACATTCACTGACAGACACTCACTGACAGACACTCACTGACAGAAATAAACACATTGACACATACACACTCACAGACACATACACACACTTCCACAACCCATTGATTTGACACTCAGTAACAGACACACATATTCACTGACAGACACACACACACACACATTCACTAACAGACAGTGGAGTGCCTGGACCCTTTTTCTAATACTGGTATTTATTATCTTCTGGGCTTGTGCTGGCCTTGGTTCAGCTAAGCACCCTCTCTTAAGTGAATTGAGTGTGGTTCTTTTTTCATTTTTGCAAAGACACACACTGACACTCTCATAGACATCACTGACAGATACACACACACACACACACTTTCTCTCTCACACATGCTTACACACTTTTTTTATTGTTATGTTCCTTTATGTTCACCCAGCCTCTATCTTTGTCCCTGGGGTCCAGTGTGACTGCTGTGGGGATCCAGTGTGGCGGCAGGGTGTGTGCGCAATGGAGTCGCCGAGGGGTCTGTAATCTTCTTGGGAGCAGAGCAAGAAGATTACAGCTCCCTCACTGGCTCCATTATGCACACACCCGCCCTCCCCGCTGGGGCCTAAGGCAGCTCTTGGGCACCCCTTGACAGGCAGAAGTCATGGAACACTGGGAGAGGGGTGTGTCCAAGTGGGCTTACAGGCTGTTTTTTGCCACCTCCTTGAAAGTACCACCAATGGGAATTGCCTTGTTTGCCTTGGGAAGAATACAGTGATGCCTGCACACATACTTGGTGATGATGGACAAACAGGGCATGCCCACCTTTTACATTTCCCACAAATCACCAGTTCACTTTAATAACAGTGAAGACAGGATATTGCTGGACTCCTCTCTAGTATCTTAATATATAACTTTTAAAATGTATATAATATATATTGGTGCACTTAATGACAAAATTAAATTATACTGGATAGTATTGACAGGAAATTATAGTGGAGGAAGCACATAGCAATAATGCCTGTCACAAATACAAAGATTCTCAAAAGAGCATCACTCTTGGGTTAAACATAGAAAGATTTTACATTTGCATTCTTGTAATATGTAAATTATTATCATTTTTAGAATTAGGCAACTGCCCCGCTTTACTTAAAATTGTATTCCTGTGTATTCTGGAAAATTTGCTGTAGTAAAACAATTAAAAATGACTTGTATGGCACTACTGATATTATTTTTTGTTGAGTCATATTTATTGTATTTCATTGTTTTCTTTTCTTTTCTTTTTTTTGTTAGGTGAATATCTAGATATCCTTGCTGTATCATGTGATAGCTTTGACGAGGAGGTGAACAAATCTATAGGCCGGGGTCAAGGAAGCAAAAATCATGTGGAAAAACTAATGAAGATCAGGAAATGGTGTCAAGATTACAATGTGGCTTTCAAAATAAATTCTGTCATTAACCATTTTAATATGGATGAGGACATGAGCGAGCAAATTGCACAGATAAACCCAATACGCTGGAAGGTACATTATCCACTATTATGGATTACTATTATGTTAATGAATTCATGGTATAAGGATTTAATTTTGTTTTAAATTGTAGGCATGGAGCGATCTGGTTTATAATGTTGGGATCACTTATTTTTCTTCTTATCCATTTAATGTTACCACTTCATCCCAACATGTAGGGCCCTCCCAAAACACGTGTACCCTGGTAAAGACACAGTGTGACCCGATCACTTACAAAATGCATTATGGCCCCGAAGATGCCTTATATTGAAGTCAGTCCATTTTCTAATCTGAGAAGACCCAAACATTGCTTTTCTCACCTCATGTTCTGTGGGCAGCAAGAGTAGTACCCAGGTGGAGACAATCAGCTTACCCTTTTACTCAATCCATTGCTGATAATATAATTTTTTGCCAATGCTAATAATGCTATGGTGTTTTTACCCTCCTGTATGGTATATTATGCATACTACACCTACCCTGAATGCATCAATCACTTGTTTTTAAAGTAAAATGTGAAACTAATAAAGCATTGCTCTCCTGTTGCATTATATTAAAACGAGCACCTTGTATTTACAGGTATTTCAGTGCCTTATTATTGAGGGTGAAAATTGTGGGCAAGATGCCTTACGACAAGCTGAGAAATTTGTCATCAGTAAAGAAGACTTTAAAAATTTTCTGAACCGCCATAAAGACATTAAATGTTTAGTTCCTGAATCTAATGAACAGGTATTTTCTGTTTCTTTTAATTACATTTATTGTCCCCAGTGGCATCTCTAGTCCTAATATAGTTATATTGGTACGAGGATGTATGTTTGCCTCTCATACCAGACTGGTGGTGTTATTACAATTTTTAAAATTATCTTTTTTTTTCCCAGGATGAAATATTTTTCTTTGTTGTTTTTTTTTTTTTTTTTAAAGTTCCTCTTTTGTTTGTTTGGTTTGTTCATTAATCAAACCTTACGTCTACCCTGAAGCCTTCATAAATGTCCACCTATGTCCACCTATTAATAACATTCCACGTACATGATTAGGCCTCATGGACGATACGTTGTATCTTTTTTTCTTTATCTTTATGGTTTAAGAAACCCTTTCTTTTTTTGTGCACTACAATGTGATGCATGTGGACCTCTATTCACAGCTTTTTTAGGGTGGTTTGCAGACCTCTAACACAGTGCTCCTCTGTACTTTTTATTGTATCTCAACACCACTTAGATACTGGTCTATGTTATTAGCTCAACCCTGTTTTGAGGTCAGTATAGTCGTGTATTTTCCAGATTTGCCTTTTTAAACCATAGTGAGAGGAAGGGGCCACAGCGAGCCACTGACTCATCATTTAAAATATGATAGTCCATTTGAGCCATTTTTTTTTAATCCACTTCCATAGCTTTTATATACACTTATATAGTTATAAATGTAATGGCTATCATATTATAACTCATCTATTATATATTAATATATTTTTTATGTTTTTATATTTTCCACAGATGCGGGATTCTTACCTTATCTTGGATGAATACGTAAGTTATTTACGATCACAATTATATAGTTTATGGTCATTTTGATACACACCAGTGTCCATTAGTGGACAGCAAAAAACATTTAAAACGTGTAAAAAATTACCACTTAAGTTAAAAACACACTCCTGTCCTTTAAAACTCTGGCAACCTTGTGAATATTTTTTGAATAGCAGAGTTTAACTACCTTGAGGCTTTCAGGAACTTGGGTCCTCATTTTCATGACAACCTGTTTTTTTAAAATGTTTTGTTCACCTCTTGTTTTCTCACCTTTTCCTCCTTCTATCCTACCCTTTAAGGGTTGTTCCTTAATTAGAGTATTGTTATGTTTAATTAGTCAAAACTTACGTTAAATATTCCTTTAATATGTGCCGATGCTATTATCCAACCTTGTCACCTTGTTACCAAATAAAAAGAATGTTCTAATTATTGAACTACTGAACATTGGATATACATACCATTTTTTTTTCTATTTTTTTTCTATTTGATATCATAAAATATTTAACAAATCACATTTTTACATTTTCAGATGCGTTTCCTGGATTGCAGAAATGGGCGAAAGGATCCTTCCAAATCCATCCTGGATGTGGGAGTTGAAAATGCAATTAAATTTAGTGGATTTGATGAAAAGATGTTCTTTAAAAGAGGAGGAAAATATGTTTGGAGCAAAGCAGACTTAAAGTTGGACTGGTGATGGTGTAACTATGGCAAAGGATAAAATTGACTTTTTTTGGTCAATGTCAAGCAGTACTGAGAGAGCACTGACAATTATTTTAAATCTACCTTAAATAATACAGAGGAACACTACATTATTTTCCCCTTTACCTCATGGGCACAACTTAGAAACATAGAATGTGACGGCAGATAAGAACCATTTGGCCCATCTAGTCTGCCCAAAGGTCATCTTTGCTATATCATCTTGTATAAATGAAGTCACCTACAGTTCCATGGTCTTCTATTGTATTATATAGAATAGAAACTTTACGTAATGCACTGTTTGTTTTTAATTCATATATTTAATTTATGGGGGAAAAAAAGTGAATGTTTACATAATGTTGCACTAGCAATGCTTTTAAAAGAAGTATATTTTTTTAAAGGTATTTTAACTCTTGTTTTAATAGCATTAAAATATGCATCAGAATAAAATAATCATACAATCTATAATAATATATATAAGTTGTAGTACAGTAAATGTAAAAGTATGCAACATTTATAACTTGTACAGACATACCGTATTAGAGATTCCCAAAATATGCTGATGGATACAGTAAAATTAAGAGTTACCATCGCCTTATGGTAAATGTAATGTAGCCAGGTTTTTAAAAAAATGGAACAAAAATTTTTTTTAATTAGTAAATGGTGAAAAATTAATTTAATTATATTAACAGAAATAAGTGAACCACATTAGTTTTTATACAGATACATTTCATTTTTCTTTTAAATTTGAACATGGTTAAAGATCATTTTTGACACTACTTTTTGGCACTTATTGCCAAATGCCAAGCTGCTATTGTTTGTGTCAAGTTGGTTTTACCATTATACATTTAATATGTCTTTCTACTTTTCTGTCTTTACATTAATTTTGCTTGGATATCTGCTGGGAATTTTAATATTGTAAATTAACTTTTGCAGTTTTTCCCCAGTTAAAATAATGGAGACACCTTCTGGTAAAAGGCAGATAGGAAATTGTGTGATGAATGTGATTAAAATGAATATAGTATATATAGAGAGTAATACAAATCCTGTATCATGGTTTGTTTATGTATATTGTAAGTGTCCATGCCTTTTGCTCATTGTGTATTTTAAAATATTTCTTTACATATTTTTGAGAGTTTATTTTTCTAAACTGTGTGATATGTTCATCTACAAAATTTAGACATTTGTCGTTACTTGTCTTGATTGAATGTGTACTCAATTGTTAACATGCAATTCTCATTATGAGAAATCATAGACATTAAAAAAAAGCATTAAGAATTAGAAAAATAAACTGTGTTTTGCAAATCTTATTTATCTTCAAATATTCACTGACCAGAGCAAGTAGTAAGAACAGTTCATATCATTGTATATAATTGGAGGTGTTGATGTCTGGTAACATTAGTGAGAATAAGACTGATAGTAAAAATGCATACTCCAATGTGTGTTTTATCCCTACAATTCGGTAATTGGATTGTAAATATAAACACAGAGAGGTTTAGAGATGGATTACCCATTAGGTGACCAAGATGGTCGCCTAGGGTCCAAACCTAGACATTTTTATCAAACTGTTTTCAAGTGGTTTGGCAAAAAAACTGGGGCCTTTCATCACCCAAGGCCTAGTCCCTTCATCAATGAACATGATAAGGAGGACATTTCACTTTCACAATATTCATTTCTTATTATTTTATTATTTATATAGTGTCAGCAAATTACGTAGGGCTGTACAATGGGTTATTATTATTATTATTATTATTATTATTACAGTTATTCAAAGAATTTGCACAGGATATGCTGGATTCAGCCACTAATGCTGTCATAACTACTAAATTGCAATATGGTAGGGATTTATTACATTTCTTATAGGGAACTTGTATGCAGTGCTGTTGAAATACCAAGCCAATTTCCATTTTAGAAGCACATTTATTTTATGCTGAAACATTACTGTAGTCTAGAGTTCCACCAGCAGATGGTGCAAATAAATCTCTTTTAATATCTAATCAGCCAAGGGCTAAAAGAAAAGCATGCAAATCAATGTTGCTATAACAAAGATTCAATTATTTTCAATTTGATCCAATTATTTCCTTGATACTCTTTTTATAGTGACTAACAAGTTCTTCACAATGTGTAGAGAAGGCATTTGTTGAGAATTATTTTTTTTTCCTACTTTTTGCAAAATTGGAAATTGGGGAGTGCTCCAGACTTGTTTTTGAGAAGGGCTAAACACGATAGACAAAAGTCTCTTTTTAGTCTATATAACTATGTAATTATGCAATAAATAATTTGCAATTATAACCCACGTGTCCTTTTTTCTTTTTTTGGCACGTTATCACTTATACTTTTGAATAAAACATATTTTTGTTGAGCTCGTTTGCATACGCCTACCCAGAATCCTTTGCAGTAGTGAGAGCACTGTTAAAGTGAGATTTCTGTAAAAAAGCAAGTCTTATGGCTTGACTGGTCTGTGTATTTGTGTTTAGCAATGTATTAACTATATATACACATAGATATAATTAGTATATATATTTCATATGTTATTAATTAATATTATTTCTCATTCATACTCTTATTTGTTAGTAAATAGTGGGTGGGAGCATACTGTAATTGAAGACATCCGTGACTTTACTCTCTAAAGAGTAATGTTGTAAATTAATATGTGACTTGAGATTTTGGGGGGCCACAACATCAAGCCCCATTTTCATACTCTCGACCTATGGATAGGGAAATAAACAAAGTGCACATGTGCACATGTGCACATATCAAAATTATGTCCTGTTAATTAGGAAGGATCCCAAGGTATTCAGCAGTCTTCTCGTGTTTTGGGGTAATAAAAAAATAAATAAACGGAGCAATGGCCCTCCAGCTCTTTGCTCCATCACATGTGAGGTAAGATATATGTAGAAATTATAGACAGAAGGGTCTTTAGTCCACTGGACCTTTACACGAGTCACCACTGCCTTAACCAATAGAGTGCCACACAATTTCATATGCTACAAATACATTCCATGTTTAAGAAAAGTTCTGAATGTTTTTACATGAATTCTAGAACACAAGTCATGATTGGCTTTGTTTCTCTTCTTTATAAATGAGGGCTCATAATAAAGACTTTTATCAATAAACAGCAAATAATGGCAAATTAAAAACAGAATCACAAAATGTATCATAGTGAGAGTGTACTCTCATTGGTTGCGTTCTGTTACAGCACAAAATAAAGGACAAGCCTTCTCATAGAGAAACATTGGTTTCAATGCGTTTCCTAGAGAAGTATTGCAGATGTAGTGTGGTGATTGCAGTGTATGCTCCCTTTGTCATGCTGCTTCTCTTGCACTGGTGAGTGAGTGGAGTGAGTGGAGTGAGCTGTGGCAAAGCAATCTCTCACCCACTGGACTATAAAGTAAGTCAACTCTTTATTTCAGGGGAAAATAAGGCGTCCAGTATCTTATTTGGGAATGCAACACTCAAGCATAATGAAATATAAAAAATAAATACGTACTAAAAAATTGTAAATAAGAAATAGAGATGAAACCAGTAACACAATTGGAAATATAGACCCCTTAACATTATGGCCACAGGCCTTTATCAAGGGATGGTGTTCTCAGAATAAGGAAACATGGAAAAATACACCTGGGAGAGTATGGAGAATAGGAATGGATTCCAAAATCAGGACTGCTTCGTGAGATTCTTGACAGTTAGGAAATATTGAATTGATCAGACAGGATAGTTTAACTTTCTGTGTATACATATTATTGTTATCATCATTACTATAGCATAAACATGATCCATGGCTCTTCACAATTCTATAAAAAGACATATAACAACAAAAAGCTGGCAAATATAAAAATGTCAACAGAAAAAGAAGTGGTGAATAGCAAAATGCAGACAAAGCTTGCAATCTGGAGTTACAGAATAAGTTTGGGAGTTTAGGGTTGGTATATTTAATGCATAATGCATATTAATCTACAAAGAGTTATAGTTAACGTTAACTGGAAAAACACACATGGTTCAGTGGAAAGGTCAAAGAATGAACTTGTATTCTTTTATCTAATCTAGTTAAAAATGCAGCAAATCATGATTTTCCAGGTTTTCCACATGGCCGTAAAATAAAGGACAACGAACGTGTGTTCTTTAAATGCACACCCTTAAGATCTAAAAGGTATACTAATGCAGTCAGGATCGGAGATTGATATGAGGACAATCTATGCATTTCAGTCAGAGGTTAGTACAAATCAAGGACAGGCAAACATTTAGAAAAACCTTTTTAATCTATAATTCAATGAGTGTCTACTAAATCCATACCATTTGTTATGTAAATCCAGTGTTTATTGTATAGCAGAGGCATTGTACTGTGCCTGTTAATTGCTCCACTTTGTTCTGTGTTTGCTGATTTCGATTGCTTGATTACCTTCAACAGGGGTGGGCAATCTATGGCCTTCCAGATGTTTTGGACTATATCTCCCATAATGCTCTTAGGGCCATAATGCTAGCAAAGCGTCAAGGGAGATGTAGTCCAAAACATCTGGAGAGCCACAGATTGCCCACCCCTGACCAAACTTTGTTACATATTTGGATTCATACTACTGTTATATCCATGTTCCAACTGCATATTTTACTCCTGTCACAAACATTCATAATGTAACACTCAGGTATGTATTCATCAAATTGTGAATCGCAGAGAATTAGCAATAAAAATCAGACTAGGACAAAATAAATATGTAGTTTTTTTGCCTTTTGGTCTATATGTGAATTTCCTTGTCAATTTTCCACAATTCCTGGTATTGTGTTCGACTTTTTTCTCCCGTTGAATGTAATGTTGCACGGGTTGTCTATAACCTTGTGTCCTTGCTTGTCCTAAACATTTAGAGCTATAACCTCTACATAGTAAGTTTGTTTGAGCGGGGTCCTCAATAACTTGTTGTCTTCTCCAGTTACCATATATTATAGATTGCTAACTACTATTATATCCCCATATTCTAACTATAAAATGCTGTGGAATATATTGGCGCTGTATAAAGTCTAATTATAAATTCCTCTAAGTATCATTTACTTATTGTTCAGCATTGCAGAATATGTTAATGCTATTTTCCTAGCAGGGCTCAAAATTTCCATTCGCCATTAGCCATTGGCAAGTGAAAAGTTAGCTCAGGCAAGTAAAAATTGTAGAAGTATAACTGGAGGGTATATGGTTACTTGCAGTAACTTTTAAGGCCTGGTAGTAGT